AGTCAAAGGGACACGTCGCCAAAAGCGTTACGGAGCACCAAATCTACCTCCTCAAAGATCAAAGTCCAGATCGTCGAAAGAAGACATCAAATCCAAAGCCAACGATCGAATCGCCTACGCGGAGACCGAAGCTCTCCAAAAGGCGGAAAAGGCAAACCCAAGATCAAAGTTGTGGATCGTCTAAAGAAGACATCAAATCCAAAGCCGACGATCGAATCGCCCACGCGGAGACCAAAGTCCTCCAAAAGTGGCAAAGCCAAAGCAAAGGTCAAAATCGTGGATCGTCTAAAGAAGACAACAAATCCAAAGACGATGATCAAATCGCCAACGCGGAGACCAAAGTCCTCAAAAAGCGGCAAAGTCAAAACAAATGTCAAAGTCGCGGATCGTCCAAAGAAGACAACAAATCCAAAGACGATGATCAAATCGCCAATACGGTGACCAAAGTCCTCCAAAAGCGGCAAAGCCAAAACAAATATCAAAGTTGCGGATCGTCTAAAAAAGACATCAAATCCAAAAACGATGATTAAATCGCCCACACGGAGACCAAAGCTCTCCAAAAGCCGGCAAAGTCAAACCGAAAACCAAACTTCTTCGGATCAAAGAAGCCATCGAAAACTAAGTTGGAAAACAAATCGACCTGGAAGGAGAATCAAAGGACCCATTTAGAGAATAGGACCCGCTTAAATTCAAATCAAATATAATTTGTACAAATTTTGTATTTATTAAAAATAACACAATTTTTTCTCCACAAATATATATATATTAAAGCAGTATGCCTCACCATGCAAATTATTTAATTTTTGAAATTTGACTTTTTTTTTAATTTGTTGATATATAATATTGGATATGCTAATAATTATTTTTAACATTATATAATATAGAATTAATAATTTTGATTAAAAAAAAAATCATTTATTATGAATATAAAAATCTATATAATAACTTAGTTTTGAGGTTATTATAAAAAATAGTATAAACTTTTTATTTGATATATAATATTGAATTAATTATTTTGGTTAAATAAAAAATTCTAAAATTATAATTTTTTTTTTATTGGTTTGATAAGTCATATTAACAGTTATATATAAAAGGGTAAATTGTCCCGCTTACACCCGTGTTATCAAATATTTGCATAAAATTCCCCATGTTAGTTAAACCCTTTAAAATCACTTGTGTTTTAAAATTCATGCTCACGCCCCATTAAAACTAACAGCGTTAAATAAAAATAAGGAATGACCATTTTACCCTTTACAAACTTAAATTTTATTTGTGTATTATTTTTTATATTATGAAATTAAAACAAACACGCCCAAATTCGATTCAATCTAGCTTGACCGATTAGGGTTCCGACAGAAATCCAACTTCGTTGTGAATTCGATTCTTCGTTCATCCGTCTCTGAAGGTAGCCATTTCCAATAAATTCTCCTTGTCCGCTGACGACAGATTCTGGTAAGAATCGATTAATACAATCCAACTTTGTTTTTGTTCACGCGATTTGTTGTTTGTCACGAATGAAAGGGTTTTTGTTTTTATTTGGATTTGAGAACTTGTAGTCAAGAATTTCAATTTAACAATATTTTTGGGCCCCATATTAGTTATGGATTATTATAGTTTCAAGAAAGTTGTGCGCAATTTGTTTTTATGTTTGGAACCCGTAAGTTTTTTTTGGGCTATGCGTTGATTATTTTAAAATGATAATTTTTTGCTTTAGTTCCACATGGGTTATGATTGTTATGTTTGTCCATGTGTTATGTCTTTTTCAGTATTGTATTGAAAGTTATTTTGTCTTTATTCGTAAATGTAGGGTTATCTACTACTTTATTGACATTTTTGCTTTTATAATTGTTGCGGGTCATGCAGATAGTGGATGGCAGATTCTCTCGATGTCTATTTATAGGTGGATGAATATTTAATTTGGTATACATTTGGTAAGTACATGGAAGGTAGAAAGGTTAAGTTCGAAAACATTAACAAGGATGTGTTTAATTATTGGACATTAGTTGATATGTATGTCAAGACTGGTGGAGTGGGAAGTAATTTAGAATTTTATTATTCTCTTCCGGGTGAAACATTGAAGAGTAGCGCGTTGTACATCAGAAGCGATGCTGACATTATCAACCTTCTGCGAACATATAAGAATGAATCAGTGATACAGATTTTTGTGGAGGAATTGAGAGGGCCTTTTACGAGTTTGGATAAATCAGGCAGTGAAATTAGAAAGTCCAATGAAGTTTTACTTTTGCCTTGGAAAGACACAGAGGTTGTTGTTTTTTCTTTTTTTTTTATCGGAAATATCAAGAGTTTTTATATATAAATAAATAAAAGAAAAATAATTACAAAAAAAAGCACCGGGCATACCCAGGAAAATCTCAAAAACTCGAAGCCCAACAAGCATGGGTCAAGGGTCGAAAAATGATGATAAAAAATGGGTCTCAAGCCCAACCACATCGCCAAAAGATAATAAAATAAATAAATTGCCCAACAAGCCTGATTAAATTAAAATCCGGAGGAAGAAATAAATTAATAAAAAATTAAGACAGTAGAGTAGACTGCTTTTTTTGGATTCGATCTAGAGATGATTTCCACCTGTATCCACCAGTAAGTAGAGGCACCAGCTTGTGTCCCTGGTCGCCTGCTGCCCGATGGAGTATAAAATTCTGAAACAACATGTCTTGATCTTGTCGATAGACATCCCCGGGTTGAGGGCGAAATGCTCCATGATCCTTTTGTTCCTAGCAGTCCATAAATAATAAATTTTAGCCGCAAAACCTAGGCGCCGAAGAATCTGAATAGTAGGATCACGATCACTTGAGCTTCGGATCCAAGAAGCCGCCAAATCCAGCGATGAGAGAGAGGGTGGGGCTCGGATCCACTCGCAAATTCTCTTCCACACCTGGGATGAGAAAGAGCATTCGAAGAAAAGGTGTTGAATGTTTTCAGGGCAGTTCCTGCATAAGACACATGTGGGATCAATATCAAGGAAAGATAATCGATCTTTTTTCTTTAATTTCCCCGACGCCGCAAGCCATAGTATAAAAGAATGTTTCGGGAGGATATGAGAGTCCCAAATAGGCTTGAAGAAAGAGCAACTGCTCCCCCGAGGTCTGAAACAGTCATAGGCTGCAGCAGTGCCACCATTACCATGGCGAAACCATAACTCAAGAGCAGCCTGGGCTTGATTAGAACTCCCAATAAGCATCGACAATTTATCCCTGATTTTCAGGATTGTTTTGAAGAAATAGGACTGCTGCGAGGTGGCCGAGGCCTGCCAAATATTTTAGGAGCATAAATATTTGTGATGAATCCATTTCACCCAAAGAGAAGCTTTATCGAAGTTAAGGATCCAAATAAATTTAGCAAGAAGAGCCAAATTCCAATCGGCAAGAGAGCGCAGTCCCAAGCCCCCTTCATCCTTCGGTTTGCAGATATTAGACCAAGCAACAGGGGCAGATCTATTTTGCTACAGAAAGGTTCTGCACAGCTTTGTGATATGATCCAAAACAGTCGGTGGGATTGAGAAAATGGACAGTCAGAAACAGCAAGATCCCTGGATTACTGTCCGGATCAGCTCCAACCTCCCTGCATACGAGAAATTACAGCCGCTCCATTTCTATAACAGGTCCGAGATTGAGGTAATAAGGCCATGAAAAATCTCCACCTTGGGCTTTCCCTGGCAGGTCGGCACACCGAGGTATTTAAAAGGTAGGGAACCTCGAGGGAAACCCGAGAGGTTAATGAGACTGTCCACCTCCTCACTTGGCGTCCCTGCAATAAAAATGTTTGATCTGGTGGCATTGACTTTGAGCCCCGAGACGCGACGAAAGTCCTCAATGTAGTCCAAAAGAATCCCCACAGAATGAGCGTCGCTATGCCAGAGAAGAATGATATCATCGGCGAAAGCAAGGTAAGTAATCCTGAGCTCAGAGCATCCCAGGTGGAAGTTAAGCTCTTTCTCTATGCTCTATTTCTTTAGAAGGCGCGAGAGGTATTCCATGCAGATGATGAAAAGATAAGGCGAGAGCGGATCGCCTTGTCGCAAGCCTTTCTTTTCTTTAATGAGCCCATAGTAGCTTCCATTGATTCCTAAGGAGAAGGAAGCCGAGGAAACACATTCCATAATAAGATCAATTAATTTCTTCAGAAAATTGAGAAGGGACAACATCTTTTGGAGGAAGTTCTAAGATACCGAGTCAAAAGCCTTAGATAGATCAAGCTTTATAATGCACCTAGGGCAGCTCCTCTTTCGGAAGTAGTGTTTGAGAAGCTCTTGAAGGAGAAGAATGTTCTCATTCATGTTGCGGCCTTGGACAAAAGCTCTTTGCGCAAGATCGATAATAGAGGGGATGCCAATCTTAATTCGGTTAGCGAGGATCTTGGAGATAGCCTTGTAGATGATTTTACAACAAGCAATTGGGAGGTAATCCCCTACTCGAGAACTCCCGGCTGTTTTGGGGATGAGGACAAGATTTGTGTGGTTAATCTCTTTGAGGAGTTTCCCATGGGTGAAGAAGTCCTCAATTGCATCAACATCTTTCCCCACAATATCCCATGTAGCAACAAAAAAACCAGAAGAGTAACCGTCACTTCCCGGAGATTTATCCTTATCCATTGATTTAATAATCGAGAGGACTTCATCCTCCGAGACCGGGGCCAAGAGATCCGCATGGAGAGAGTCCGGGATAAGAGAACCGCCCAGAACAGTGTCCTCATCCAGGTCGTTTGTAACAGTGGTTGTCCCAAGAAAATTCGAATAGAAATCCATAAACTCGCCGGTGACTTGCTCCATAGAGGAGGTGGATGATCCATCGTCCCTAGCAATGGAGGCGATGAAATTTCTCTTCGCATTTCTCTTGACAAGGGAGTGGAACGTCTTAGAGCATTTTTCATTTTCCGTAAGGAACTTGCATTTTGATTTTTGTTGAACAATCTGCTGTTTTTTTAAGGCGAGCAGCCTCCTCACGGAGAGAACGAAGGGTGGGTTGAGCTGAAGGGTTTGGCATCGACCCTTGGGCCGTTTGGGCCGACTTCAGATTTTCCAGAGCGACTCTACTCCTTTCCAGGATGTGCGAAAAATAATTTTTGTTCAGGTCGATTAAGCTGTTCTTTAAGTGTTTGAGCTTTGTGACCAGACGGAATTGAGCTGATCCGTTCACAGGCAAATTCCAGGCAGCAGCTACTGTGTCATGAACCTCGGATGGGCGATCCACATGTTAAAAAATCTGAACGAACTTTCTTTACTATCAACATTCCTACACAAAGTGGCTATTGCTGGAGAGTGGTCCGAAAAACCTGACGGTAGAAATGATACGCTGCTTGTGAAGCTTGCTGCAAACCAGTGGTGGTTTGCCATAACACGATCCGATTTCACCCAGCATCGCTGATTGGTCCAGGTGAAATTATAGCCCGAGAATAAATGGTCCGTTAAACCCAAAGTCGTCACAAAATGCATGAAATCCTGGAACTGATATGGAGTTACAGGTCGTCCATTATACCTATCCGCAGGAGACAACACAGAGTTAAAGTCTCCCAGGACTAACCAAGGCTCGACCAGATCACTGCCAAGTTGGATGAGGCTGTCCCAAAGTCTTCGTTTAACAAGAGAGTTATACCCATAAACAAAGAAAATCAACACCGAGGTGGAAGAGATTTTACAAGTAGCTCTTATCGTGACACATTGGTCTTCAATATGAAGAGGTTCAACAAGAACCATTTGAGGGTTCCAAATAATTCCGATACGCCCACCTTTATAAGCATCAAAGTTTTCCAGCGAGGGTAATGATGTAGGAGGGGGTAATGTAGAGAGAGAAGATATATCACTCTAATGAAAAGACACAAGAACAACAAATGGCAAAGGATAAGGTTAGAGATGCAGTGTGGGAGAATTGGGAATGTGTAACGGTCTTTGGTAACTATAGGGATAATATGAGGGATATTGATAATGAGGTGGCTGAGGGAGTCTTGGAGGCCGATGAAGGTTGTGGTGTTGATCATTGTGGAGCTGTTGGACTTACAGAGGGTGTTACGGTTTCCGAAGGTGATGTAGTTGGTTCAGAAAGAGAAGAGGACTTGGATGAGGGTGTGGCTGCTGGATTGAGTGGTGGGGGTGCCACTGATGCTGAAAGTGAAAATGCAAATACTGAATGGGATGGTACTGACTCGGATGACCCATCTTGGATGTATGATGGCTTTGACGGTCCTTTGGAAGATGATATTTTTGTTGAAAAACCAGACAATGAGTGGGAAAGAATGAAAGAGTTAATGAAGGAATTGCGATTATTAAGAAATGAGAAAAAAAAATAATGCAAAAAGAAAAGATCACCAGGAGTCTGTGAATGATAACATATTAGGAATAAAGGATAAGGAAGCTGAATGATACAGTGATGTGGATTCAGAAAGACAGGGGGATTTGGATGCACCTATGGTGTCTGATGAAGAAACCGAGGGGCCTCGTTATACCGAATGGGATGAAAACATGGATATGGGTACAAATGATCTCGACGTAGGGATGAAATTTTCAAATAGAGAGAAATTCAATGAAGATTTAAAGGAGTGGGTTGTTAGAAAAGGGTGGGACTTGAAGTACCCTAAGAAGGAAAAGCATGTCGTGGCTGCTACTTGCAAAAAAGGTTGCGGATGGTTTATTCGGGCTTCTTCAATCATGAGAGAGACCACATTTCAGATAAAAATACTAAAGGGCAGACACACATGTGCACATATGACGACAAACTCACAAGCTGACTTTCGGTAACTATTTTAAATGTATTTGATAGTTATTTTTTTATGTGTTTATAGTGTTTTGATATGATATTTATGGTCTGATTTTTGGTTATGTTCTAAATTTTATAGTATGTTGTGATTTATGTTTCTGATCTTATTTTTCCAGTCTGATTTTTAAGGTTATGGTGTTATTTTTGTAGTCTGATCCATAGGGTGCTGATCTTATTTGTATATGATTTCAACTTATTGTGTGGTATTAGAATTTTATGTTGTTCCCTTAAATATTATTCCTGGGATCTTACTGTTCTGATTTTAGTGCATGTTGTTTTAGTTTATTCCATCAGGTATCTAAGAAAAAAAGATTAAGAATTACGTGAAAGATAATCCTGCGGAGTCTTTAGAATCTTTGCGAAGGAAAATCAGAACAGATGTTGAAGTTGATGTAAGCACACACAAGGTGTACCGAGCAAAGCAACATGCGATAGAGCTTTTAAAGGGTGATATGAAAGAGCAATATAATAGACTCTATGACTACTGTGAGATAGTTTGTAAACACAATCCTGGTACTTCAGCTATTTTGAAAGTTGATCGAGAATTATCTCCGCCGGTGCTTCAGAGGATGTATTTATGTTTGAAACCACTGTCAAATGGATATCAAGTGGGGTGTAGGCCAATAATTGGACTTGATGGTTGTTTTTTAAAATGACTATACGAGGGTCAGCTCTTAACAGCAATCGGAATGGATGGAAATAACAATATTTACCCGATTGCTATGGCGTTTGTGGAGGTCGAAAAATTTGATACTTGGGATTGGTTCTTGAACTTGTTGTTTCGAGATATTGGAGATGCACATGATGGGCAGTGGTCTTTTTTATCTGATCGACAGAAAGGTCTGATTGAGGCTGTAGCTATGCATGCACCGAATGCCGAGCACCATTTCTGTTTGCGACATATGTACAATAACTTCAAAACGAAGTCTAAGGGTTTGGAGTTGAAAAGGTTGTTTTGGAAGGCTGCCTCGACTTACAATCTGAACGAGCACAAACGTACAATGAAAGAGATCTTGAAATGCAATCCAAAGGTGAATGAATCGAAGAATGCCTTTGAGTGGTTGGTTGATATTCCGAGCATCAGCGGGCGAGAGATTTTTTTCCTACAAGAACTAAGTGTGAGGCATTGGTAAATAACATCAGCGAGTCTTTCAACCATTATATTATGTATGCTCGTGATCTTCCAATAATCGAGATTTTTGGATGGATAAGAAGAAAATGCATGAAATGAATTCAGGTAAAAAAATGAAGGATTGAAAATTTTGAGAGTTGTGTATGTCCGAATATTTTGAAAAAAATTGAGGTTCAAAGGAAAGAGAGCAGAAATTGTTTCCCCAGTTGGGCAGGTGACGACAAATTTGAGATAATGCACTGGTAAGCAAATCATGTTGTTCATTTGAAATCCAGAAGTTGCACATGTGGTATGTTTCAAATGGTTGGATACCCGTGTTACCATGCAATTTCTGCTCTAGATATGCATAGGCAAGATCCGTTGGAGTTTGTGGATGCCTACTTCAGTAAGCAATTGTACAACAACCTATACAACCACATGATCAGCCCTGTACCAGGTATGCATGACTATGAAAAGCCTCCGTTCGGTATTGTGGCTCCCCCTATTGTAAAAAAAAAAAAAAAAAAAAGAGCTGGAAGGCCCAAAAAAGTGCGCAGGCATGATGCAAATGATATGAAAGAGATTCAACTAAAACTTCAAGAAAAGGCTTAACCCATACATGTGCAATATGCCTTCAACAAGGGCATAATAAAAGGAGCTGTAAGAATGCACCACACCAAAATTCAAGGTTTGCTAAGGTAATAATTTAATTTTAGATTAATAGTACTAATACATTTACGTACTTTTGGTACTAATTGTAATTCTATGTAGACAAAACCCGAAAATCCAACCAATACTGGGGCCAATAATCCTATGCAAAGCAACATAGTAGTCGATGAAACTGTCGGGCTGGTGAGGATTGTAACTTTTAAGGCCAATAATCTAGTATAGTGCAACTAATCAATTAATCTATCTTTGTAGGGCCAAAGTGAGGATTGTAGAACTTAATTTTCTTCTTCTCGTCGTCATACTGTGGATGGTGAGGCATGAAATAAATAATATTTTATTATGCATTACAGTTTTTTATAAATATTTTTCTACCAGTTACATGAAGTTGAATAACATTTAGGGAGGTCGGGCAAAAAGATAGCGCATCAGCTCACAACATATGACTAATCTTTCCCAGACCATGGATCAGGAACTGAAAAATTCAATGCATAAATTATTTAAGTTGTGGAGCTTTCTATTGTTACAACGCAATAATAGATAAATTCTGTGGCAGGTGGAGCGTCAAAATAGCATACCCGATGATCCCCAAACCGCCCGTACCGAAGTTGTGGCTGATGTATGTACTAATGTTGAGCCAAGTGTTGTGCAGGTCCATTGTTGATTTGCACTAATAACGATTTTTGGTTTATTTTCCTACATAAATTTGTCTCATGTAGTTGAGCTTTCTAGGCGAAGCTATCAAAACAGCCACGAAAGTTTAACACCCTGAAAGCAACTTCTCAAAGGCGAAGAAAGGGTACCCAACCACAAAGTTCCCAAGCTCCAACAGGTTTGCCATGTCTACGGGCTTCTAATCAACGTCCCGGATCATCTCTTGCATTAAGGTTACGAGCCTTGCAATTCTCTTACAAGCCGAGACAACCTGGTGCAGTAGGATCTCAAAAGAAATAATATGTGTAGATTTGCTTGATTGCTCATTGTGTTTTGTTTTGTTGTATTTATCCTTTTGTCGGATTGATCATGTCATTAGAAATTGATGGGTTGCTGCTATATTGCCATGGGTTATCATTTTGTATGTAGTATGCATCATTTTGCTAGGGTGCTTTTGGTAGCATTATGTTGTTTTGAAAGCAAACATGATGCTAAGGGTTGAATTGTTGATGTGATAAAACTTAACGAACATCAGCTATACCAAATTTTTTTGGCTTATGAATCATTTTATTTACTGTGAATTTGTAGTTTAAAGTGTTGTTGTATTGCCATGGGTTTTTGGCATATTTTCATATTATGTTAAATCTCCTATGAGAATATTTAATTGATGTATATATAAAATGATTTATGAGCACAATGTAATTTAATTCGGATAATGATGGTATATGATTAGAGATATTATTATTATTATTATTATTATTATTATTATTATTATTATTATTATTATTATTATTATTAAATGTTGCTTCAATGGTGTAGTGTAATAATATTTTGATAATGCCTGGAGGTGAATGATTTGTCTTTAGCTTTGATTATTATCATGTTGTCTCATAGAAGAGGTAGAGGATATGTCCCAACTTTCACTCTAAAATTTTTGTTTAATGAATAGTATGGTTTGATGAATGAAGATAGTGCAGACAAGAACAAATTAAAACAGAACTAATTCAAAACAGAACAAATTTAGATAAAACACACTTGGTAAATTCAAACAGAACTAATTCAAACAAAGCAAAATATTAATTCTTTTACTGCAAAGCAACAAGTAGATGCACTATTAGTCCTTAAATACATCATCAAATTAAAAGGATATCTACTTGGCCATAATTGCAACAACGATAACAATACAAAAAAACAACATAATCGTCTACTTAGCCATTGCCACAATTGCAACAACAATAACACTAATAACCCAAAGATATTTAATCCTATTGATAATTGTTTCAACATGTTTCGTGTTTGACTCTATTGCTTTAGCAATAATCTCAATTTCAGACCTCACTGTGGTAAATAGCACTTCATTGACATTGGATTCAGGTTTCGAAATTTCTTCATCTTCTTCTTCAAAACTACCAATCACACATTTGGTCCGATCCTTTTCTTGTGCACTCAAGGGATCTAACCAACAAAAAAAGTCACATTGTTTATTTCTACAATTGCAAAACAACTTACCTTCGGTGTCTTTCGTAGGGCCAACTACTCGAATTGCAGCATATTTTTCACATTTACATATTGGATTTTTGTATCGCAAGTCCGATATTTCACCTCTCAAACTCCTCTTAGTATTTGACGAAGTCGTCGACATTAGCACCACCTATACTTCGCAACCAAGTTCAACCAATTAATTTAATAAAATCGATTAACATTTGCAAACAAAAAACCCAACATCGAAGGGAGAAATCAACACATGTTTAACTTTAAAGAACCATAAACATAAACATCCAAAACAATATTACTAAACTTTCACACCCAACTAAATTAAAGAACCATTACCGATGTGTTAACTAATATTGTAAAAAAAAATTCAAAACCAAACAACATAATTGTTTTACCCAGGCTCACAAACATACCCATCCAGCGCCAACGTATCAATTGAATCCATTAACTCCAAAAATTGCTAAAATTCACCGTCTAACGATCTCATACAATGTCCACTAATTTTGAAAAATTATTAAACAGTACAACATAACATTAATAACCTAATCAAACACAGATTCATTTACACCCAAACCACACCCAAACTTAGACATAAACCTATTGGAAATTGATTACCCAAAATATTCACCCCCAACAAAAGCTCGCAACGAAAAAAATCATTCACACAAAACATCCAACCTTTAGGCTCCAATAAACAAACACCCAAGACACAGGCACAAGAGAAAAACAGAAAAATAAATACAACAAAAATACAAGAGAGGGAAGTTAGAAAACAATAAAGGAGAAATAGACGTAAGAACAAATTGGCGGGGAAGAACGTGAACAATTTTACCTAAAAGAGAAAATTCTTAACTGGAAGAGAAATTGTTCGAGTCAATTCACAGACCAAATGAATGAGAATATAGTGTGTATAGTTTTATCTTAAACCCTATATTAAACGAGGGTATAAATGTCCTTTTACATTGAAATTATAAATTCTATCATATTATACATGCAAAGACAGCGCGTGTATCCAACGTTTTGTTAAATATAGACGGAATGGGGATAATGTGCGTATTATTATATTTCATAAAGGTTAATTATGCAAAAAACTAAATATAAGGTATTTCGTGCAAAATTTCTGTAACACAGAGGTGTGTATTGGAATTTACCCTATATAAAATGATATTTTATTTCATATTATTATTATTTTTAAAAAGAATTCATAATTATTGCATATGATCCACCCGCGCAATACTAATTTTTTTAAATTTTGAATAATTATGTTTTTTTTTAGGTTGATTCTTATGACATAGCGGATCATATTGATAATAATTTATAGAATTATACTCTGTCGATCTTACCATAATTGACATTATTTTTATTTTAGGTAAAATTTATTAAATTAAAATATATTTAATAAATATAAATCAATTTAATTAACTACATAACATATAAATCATAAATCATATACGACCTACTCAAAATTTTTTTATTTCTATCACTCTCCTCAAAATAAATAAATATTTTCTCTATATTTAAAATTCAACATCTTTTATAAAATTCATTTATGTTAATTATAAATAAATAAAAGTTTTTTTATTTACTTGTCTTATATATATATTTTTTATGACTTCGGAACCTGGAGCCGCTACCCGAAAGTGCAGACTCGGTAAACCTCTGGGGGTTTTAACCACTGACGTCACAGTCACAAATCCACCTCCCACCACTAGGTCATCCCTTACTGGACTAAAATATATCTATATTGCATATATTTTTTATTTCTATATAATTTTTAAAATATTTATATATATATTATTTTATTTTATTATATATATTAAATTTACTTTAAAACTAGTGACAATTGAGGATAAATCTCTTTTTTCATAATCAAATTGATATTCAGTCTCCATTCTTAATAAATTATATTGAACTCCCTCTTTTTCCATCTTACTTTATCTCAACTCTCTACCCATCTCAATCTTCTCTCTCCCCTACTAAAAAATCATATCGTTAAATTTTGCACAAAATCGGAACTGAAATCCAATAAAGGAAGAAATCTGCCATTGGAAAATTGACACCGTAGTCCGATCGGCAATATGCAAGCCTCCCAAAGACCCATTTCTCATCCCTTGGGTTTCTCCAGTGCGATTTTGCCATCCATCTCCGGAAAAGATCGACGTAAGGTTTGATTCTACTCTAATTGTGCGATTTTGTTCGTTATTACTAGAAATCGGTACAATCTCAATGTCGTTCGCTGCATGTTCATTCTGACGATTAATCAACGAGAGGGGGACAATTGTGTATTTCTGGTAACAATTGGCTTGCCCATTTTTATAATTCATTTGATTTGAGTTCATCTTGATGTGTGGCTTCTTTCTTTGTCCGGTTTGATTCTACTATAATCGGTGTCGGAATTGATTAATTTTGGATTGTTGTTGTTAGTGTAGATTGAAAGTGTGGTTGTTTGATGTTGAATTTTCATATATCATTGATTCCACGTCTCCTCATCGGCCAAGCTATGCCGAGATGCTTTCTCTTCCTTCTAGCACATCAAATGTTCGACAAAATGCCTCATCAAAGATATATGCTTGGTTTGATAATCCTAAGAGTTTTGGTTCAGTTTATATGGAGAATAGTTATCCAGGGTGAAGTTTTTGATAGTTGAAATCTCAAAACTTGTCTCGGAATTTATATTTGCTCTTGTTGGAAAATTTTCACATAGTTATTCATCGTGGAAAGACTTATATCATTGTTTGATAATCTAAAGCTTTACGTCCAATTCTTAATTCTCTGAATGAATTACAAGCATATTTTTATTCACCTCTCTGATGATTAAAGATTATTCTCGTTTGAGAACAAGATTACTGAAAGGTTTTCGAAAGTGTGTTTTCAAACAGTTTTTGGGCTTCAAGCTAAATGTGGAATCCCAAATTGTCCTGGTATGAATTCAACTTCTTTCGCTACTAGTTCACCTCTTCCTCAAGAAAGCTGAATGATAAAGAATGATTCCCTCAAATTGCCAGATATCATAATTACATCAACCATTTGATGTCAATGTAGCTTTTGTGTAGTTACTTTTGGTGTGTTGGATATTATGTAATATAATAAGTAAATATAGAACAGTTAGACCGAATGCGTATTGAAACTTGTTTGTAAATTTGTTGTATCGTGATACATGAACGAAAAGTACGGGTATATGATGACGATCATTTATAAATGAATTGTTGATGACATAAATTTCTTGAATGGTAACAGAGGTATACGAATTGACAATCATAATAAAATTTTTAAATTGGGGGAGTAACTAGTTGATGTTACTAGACATATTGGCCTACAATGTATTACCGATTTAAAAATTACAAAAAGATTGTGTAACATTATTTTAGACCCAATGGAGAGTAGGGACGGAACTACACTAGGGCTTGGGGGACAATTGATCCCCAAGCCAATTTTTTTAATGATTTTTTTAGTATTAAAAATATTAATTTTTATGTATTTATATACAATTTGCCCCTCAAAACTATTTAAATTCATATATAATTCTGTCATTATTATTTATTTAAATTTATTAGCTAAACATTAAATAAATTATAACATTTTGCCTCCCCGGGATTTAGATGCTAGTTTCGTCACTGATGGAGAGGATTATAAATCCTTATTCTCATAGAAAATTATTAAGATAACACTAGTTTTAAGAGTATATATACACATTCTAAAATATATTATCCATACAAAAATAGATATTTTTTAATTTATTTAATTTTTAACATGAAAGAATGCAATAAGTACACAACTAGTAGGATTTTGTACACCAAGCCACATTGAGGGTCTGTCGGAACCGTTTTGGAGTACTCGTATGCTTAGCCAAGTCATGCCCTATGCAAATATGCTCCTAATACAATGTTGTTGTGTGTGCTACAATGTGGATTACTATGTAATATGTCTAAAAAATTTCAATTCGTGGAAGCAATCTTGTACTCTAACAACCCGACATAATTTAATTTAGTCATTTATGACTTGTTTAGCCATTTATAAATGGAAGTTGGACTATGATTTATACATATATCATATAAGTCATTTTTGACTTATTTATCCATTTATAGTAAATATGGTTTGTTTATCGTTTCATCAAATTTAGAGTGTCGTGAAAACGCTATCATACTGAATTAATCCCTGGTTACCAACAATAAGTGAATATTTTGAATCGAAAATGGTCGATTTCCTAAGCACAGGTTACATGAAATATATACTCGTTTCTGAAGCATATAACACCAATATTATATGTACATAAGATATGCGCCAGGGTATATACGTATTTAATGCAAGTAAGTATGTACTCCAGGTACAAACATCGACAATCAAGGTATGAATGATAGTTTCTTAGGTATTATCTGTGTAATAGTAGGTATCCTTTAATGTAGTTAATTTCAGATAATCCTCTGACGGATAAGCCAATTCACAAACTCGATGAGAGTACTTTTTCTCTCAGCTCTGATGGAAACGTTTGGGCGTAGTACATTTACATAATACAACTTATGTCATACCTTTCAATGGGAAGAACACAAAACATGTATGAATAACAACCAACATAATTTAACTAAGTATTTTCTATCTTGTTTATCAGTGCATAGTAAATATGTATTGTTTATCTTTACATATAGTTCTAGGATTCCCGAAAACACTATAATGATGAATTCATCCATGTTTACCAACAACAATTGAATGTTTCCAATTGAGAATGATCGGTTTACAAGCATAAGTTACTAGGGCATAGATACTCGTTATTGGAGTATATGAGATCGTATTATAGGTACATAAAAACCACTCCGGGGTATGGGATATTTAATGGAGGCAATGTGTTATGGGTACGAACATTGACAATCAAGGTATGATTGGTTGCTGCTTAGGTATTATTTATGTAGTAGCAGGTATCTTTGAATATGGTCGACTTCAAATAATCCCTTGAGGGATGAAGCAATTAAGGAACTCGGTGAAAGTACTTCTTCTATTAGCACTTCTTCACTTCATTGGTGGTTGAGAGAAATGACAGCAGTTGGGAGAGCATAACCCTTTGCAATACTTGTATATATTTTTCTTTCTTAGGTGCACCACTAATGTACTCAAGTATCCATGAATGCACTTATGTTCATTGCAGACATTACTTCAATCATTGCAAGGTCTTGTAATGAATTAGTTAATTTCAATTTAAGAGCATTATGCATAACTTTTCTGCCTCGTTGCTGTCTTCGTACAAGGATAACCTTCCTAACTAATTGGTAACATGTATATGAGCATATATATATAGTTTGAAGGTATTTCGATCTAGTTAGACGGGTACATCGATCCCTTATGAAGGTACAACATATGCATATTGCAATTCTAACTATATGAAGAATTAATCATATAATCATTCATGACACAATTTATAGTAATACTTAAAACATTATGCTTCACTAAATTCAACTCATGATTCGATCTCTCAATCAATTTTAATGCAATCTCATCGAACATTAGACAAATCAAAACAATCTTAATACACAGTATTCCCCTACAAGTGTACTACTTAGCACACTAGACCTAAAAGATGCAACTTGGCGTACCTAACAATACACATTTATCAACTCACAAACATGATTAATTACCAAATAATCAAAATAAAAAAAACTAAAGTATGCAACTCCGGATAACTAAAAAAAGCATACATTTACAAATTTAACAAAAATCACATATTAAACAAATAAAATTACCCAAAATCGATGCCAAAATAAAACACCAAATCTGGTCTACATGGGCAAACATACGAATAATTTCAAACACGATTAACAAACACAACTACACTGATCACTCATGGCTCCTCAACAACGAATTGCATACAAATAGGGACCAAGGCTTACACCCCAAACAAATCAAACAAACTACTGTTAAAATACTAATGACAATAAAATAAAAAAATCGAAAAAATTCCGACCAGACACTTATTTCTTCGAGCTTGTCGCGGGAGATAGGAGCAGGTCAGCTCTTTTCTTCACTATTTTTGCACCGATCGGCCACTATTTGATTGTTGGGGTTGGAGAACGTCGGTTCACTACAAAAAAATATTAATTTTGTAACAAAGTTTTTTTGTCTTTAAATCCCCTTTTTCCGTTACTAAAGACATTAGAGACGAAATTAGAGAGGGAATTGCGTTAACTACACACACTTTAAGAACGAAATTCCGTTACTAATATACTATTTTTTTGTAGTGGTTCGCCTGAGAATGAAAGAGGTAGATTTTAAAATCGGGGTGAAGGGAGTTATGGGAGATTTTCTGCCTCAACCTAGTTAAATCGAGGGTAACTGTCTTTTTTTTTTTTTTTTAATTCGCAAAAAAGGTACTCGATATTTAACCATAGGTATATAAGATTATAATTGGGGTAGAGGGTGAAGTAATGTAGGTATCTATTAGAATATTGGAAGTATTGATCAACCTATTTCGAGTATATGTTACGTATACAACAATAACTGAGGGAAAAATATGAATTGGGGAGTTGTAACATACCTAATTGAGAAAGTAGAGACTGCAGTCCAATTACTTTACAATAGGGACTGAATTACAAGTGAATTTATCTGACAGAGATTTCAGTCCAACTTTCCCTTAAAACTATCAATATTATCAGTTACTTACAAAATAATAAAATAATATTATAACTAATTATTATTAGCTAATTAAACATTATTACTTTAAATAGCGTATCCCTAATCAAATGGTTCAATTATCACGAAAGGATGTGAGTATAATAATAAACAAAAATTATAATTATTGTTATGAATACTAGAGATTATACTAATTCATACATATTTTGTCTTTAGACTACAATAAAAATAATATAAATTTAATAGAGTATTTAATAAAGAGTTAACGATTCAAATAATATGATAATAATTACTTTTAGTAATGAGAATTTTTAAAATTTTATAATCTTTTTCTTTTTTGTTATTTTATATATATATATAAAAGTGTGTTATAGTATTATATATATATATATATATTTGAATTGTATATAATCTACATTGAGTAAAGTAATACTAGCTTCTTATTTACTTTTTGTATGTTAATATTTAAATATTAATTATTATATAAAAATATAGTACAAATTAAGGAAAATAGACAAAAATATTTCTATTAGTTTCTTATAATACCATTATAATGATATTTGTACAAAAAATTATACAAATATAAGGATATTTTCAATGTTAAGTACAATATCGCAAAAAAATATATAAGACTTTAAAGACGGATGAAGAGTTTATTTTACATTATTTTCAACAATAAAAAAGAATTATAATTATTGGTATGAATATGAAAAAATATATATATTATCTTCTAAAATTTAAATTTGACCATTATTATAATTTTCTAAAAGATTTTATCTGTAATTATTATTCTTTTATAGATATTTCATAAGTAATTTATTATTTTTAGATACATAATAATTTAAATATGTATAATTTAATATATAGATCCGTTTGGATTAATTTTTTACGGGAGCTTTTGACTTTTAATTTTTTTTTTTTAAAAAAAAGAAATTGTATTTATTTGTATCAGCTTTTGTCCAAAAATAGTTGAAAAGTATTTTTTTTTCAAGAACACAAAATATAGGTTCTGAATAAGCAAAAATACTTTTTAATTAAAATTATTATTTTATTTTTAATAATAAATAAATAAATAAATAAATAAAATACTATAATATATAATAAAAATAATTAATTTATATATACATATTACTCTTCCGTTCCAAAATAATAGTCTAATTTTGTCATTTTCTTCAATTACAAACAATAGTCTTATTTCCATTTTTAGTAAACTCATTTTTCATTTTTTTTACAAAACTATAATAACTTTTTCACAATAATCAAATAATTAAATAAACTAAGGATATTTGGTCTTTTAAAATATTTTTACACCCACTATTAATATTATATTATTATTTTTTAATTTTCGTGTCAATTTCAAATGTCCATATTATTTTGAGAAAGAAAAAGTATATTTTAATAAAAATTAAAAAATAATTACATTATTATTTTTAATTTATATGTTATACTTGAATTAAAAGTTAAAATTATAATTGAAATATCAAATTTAAACGGGAATTATATAAATTTTTTAATTATACTAAAATTATGAAATATAATTTATAAAATTTTTATAGAAAAATATAATTATATTAACACCGTATTGTTTTTAATAATTTTAATGGTTTAAAAATACTTTTAACTCAATTACATCCAAACAATGTTTTTTATATAAAACTATTGTTATAATAATTTATCTAAACAATTGGTGTGTTTGTTTAGTAAGATAATTTAAAAGAGTATTTTTTATGTGAGATAAAATAATATAAAAAATATGAAAATAATAAATATGTGTAATATATTAATATTTTTAAAAAAAATAACTGAAAAAATTATAGAAAAAACAAACCCAATTAACTTATACTTATTTTTTATCCATACCGGCCAATAAAATACCCAAACAAAAAAATAAATCCATACCGGCCCATAAAATACCAAAACACGAGGTACCTGTTAATTTATTTTATTTTATAACAGGAAACTAATTCTGAAAGAAATTAATTAAGTTGGGCCAATAATTTTGAGGCGAACTTTTGATGGGGCGCCCAAGTTAGTACTTGTTAAAAGAACAGGTTTGAGGTGAGGTGAAGAGTAGTTTAGGTTTTATATGTAGTCTGGATTTCGTCGCAGAGTTTCTGAGCCCAGCCGATACATCCCGCCGGTTCGCCGGCGACGCTATACTCCTGCTTTCGAGACATCGGATTTCTCCAGGTACTCTCTGCTGTTGTACACATATATATATATGTTAGCTGTAATGAGTAAAGTCAGTCCGTATCGTTTAATCTTTGCGCCTCAGATAATTTTCTTCTTTATGAGCTTCATTCGTCTTAGTGCTTGTGTCTTGAGTTAGCATGACTGAATTTTTCGCCCCATTTTATGTTTGCGGTCGGATTGGCGTGGGTCTTTGATAGGGTTCTGCTTTTGTAATGGACAAATTTCCCGTTTCAGCAGTTAGGAGGTTTTCGCCTTGTTTTATCTGAGAATATATATGAATACAACATCCAATATTCCTAAATTGTAGTGCTACGTATGCGTGGCTATCTGTTCTGGTTTGTTTGTGATCCTTGTTCAGAACATTTTATACTTATTTTTTGGTTTGGTGTTCATGCTTGTGCGCTTAATAGTTCTTTTGTTGTCTGTGACGACTGTTAACTAACGTCTTATCAGAGCACTTGAATTCATCAGTTATGGAAGCTTCCACTAATACATCATACCAGCCTCCGGCAGTGTTTGTTGAGGACAAAAAGGATACGCTAATTGATCTAGATTTGACGGACTCAACTGAGCTATGGCTTATCCAGTGGCCCATTAATGAGGTATTGCTTTGGGAGGATGCTATCCTTTTTAGTTCAATGCTTTCATTTTGCTCCTTTATGCAATAACTTGTGTTTCTCAATACTTATCATCGTCATTTTTATCTTAGTGTAGTGTATGCCCTATTGAATCGATTGTCCAGATCTTGATTTTTGTGTTCCGATTTTCTACACACATTCAGCTTTCTTAAACTTATCTTTGCGTTGGCATCTCTTTCCTGCAATCTCACCAATCAATTGTATGTTACACAGCCTCCTGATTTTGATGGGCAGCAGGTGTCCCTCAACCATAAAGGGGATGGACATGTCGGCACCTTTGAGGGGTCCTCCGGTAATTTATCTTAAGCCCTGATGTGTTTAGCTGTATCTAGTAAGTAATAGCATCTTTTCTAATTGATTTTATTGAATCTAATGAGACAGGAAAATCATATGATGTGGTTAGTTCGAAATCCCAAGGTCCTGAGGTTATGGTTTTCTTGACTTCGGCATCAGAAGCTAAAATTGGTATGCTACTTGTATTGTATATAAGCTCTCTTTAGTAATACTTTAATATATATATATGTATAGATATTACTTGTGTTTAGCTGCTGATAAAAATAGCAATACTTTACCATCTCTCATAGGACATTTCTTACCAGGGACTATGTGATTCTTGAATTATGGACCACCTGTCTTTGGAAGCTAGATAAAATAGTCGATAATTTATGGAAACATCCTTTTGGACAATGGGATTAAATTAGAACTAATGTTATATCGAATAGTTTTACACCGTTAGTCCGTAGTTCCCAGTTACAACTAATCTTTGCATCCTATCCTATTGTATCAGCGGGGAAGATCTCTAGGAGGGTCTCGTTGGTTCATTACCCGGAGCCAAGTGAGCTTCAAAGGCGCAAGTCCCGAAGCCACGCCCAGCTATCTTCCATTGCTACATCAACGATTTCTGGTCGGAGTCTGCTTACTCCTGCGCGAAGCATTAGGGCAAGAGACTCCGAAGCAGGCAACCATTTTACCACTCCAAAGAGAACTATTTCAGGGGCTGTGGAACCCTCCAAGAGGAAACAGAACTCGAATAAGCGGATTAGATCGACAGATCGTTCGGATTCGGAGAAAGGAAATAGCGGCATTACGGATACTGGATCGATGGAGCATTCTGAGGAAAGGAAGTCAAAGAAGGCAAAGAAGAGTACCGGTTGAACCATACAAAGAAATCCTTTATTTGTTTGCTTATTTTGGACTTGAACGTGTATTTGACTTTTGAGGGAAAAAAACATCCCAGCCCCTCGACCGTTAATTTTATTTAAATTTGAAGTATCATAAATATTGGATTTAACTTAACGCACGAATTATGACTAATATGGGCAGTAATTATTATTAGTATTAGTATTAGTATTAGGGTAAATTATATAATCCTTTATATTTTTGATAAAAATGCACAAAACACAATGTGTTTTATTTATTGTTGGAAAAGTTTGCAACATTTTTCTGGTTCTAAATAAAGATTTAAATTACGCCTAAAATATTTTAAATAATTTTTTTAATAAAATAAATAAATAAATAATTGATCAATCATATATTTTTTATAGTTTTTATAAAAATCAGATAATAATTTGTTTCCAAAAATTATAAAATAAAGGATTAATCAATTATTTATTTATTTATTTATTTTAAAAAATTATTTAAAATATTTTTTTTTTTATTTGTACTAAACTTAGTAATTTTTAGAATCAAATATCAGTTATGAACGAGACTGATATTTTGTGCAAATTTTACATTAACACAGACGATTTCACTGTAAATAAAATACAAGGTGTTTGTGCAATTTTTACTAAAATACAATGTTTATTATATAATTTATCCTTATTATTATTATTATTATTATTATTATTATTATTATTATCATCATCATCTTCATCATCTAACCTTCTTGATTACTCATTATTTAGGATGGGCCTCTGAGTTTTTGAGTTTGCCAGACTTCCTATTTTTTATGGGCCTTTGATTGGACAGTTTTTTAAGTTAAGAATAAAAACAATGTTATAGGACAATGTAAGATTTGAATACATTTTATATTAAAAATAAAATAATCAATTATCTCATTTGAAATTCTAATAAACATGCAAGAGGAAAATCGCATAATTACTTTTTTTTTTTTTTTTTTATTTCTTTAAATTAAAAAAATATGAAGAATCCCATGATGGAGGATAGAGCCAATTTGAAAAGCAGATAAAAGTTACTTGCACGCTTTTGAGAGCTCAATTCTAGTAAGGGGTATTTTCGATTTTACATATGGAACTCTATTTTAGCATTTCAAATGTCTTTAACATCATTTCATTATTCTATCCAGCATTTTTTCATTTAAGGAATTTTGGTATTTTGTAGCCTAACACAACTCATTCAAGATCATAATAATAATAGTAATAATAATAATAATAAATTAGCTCACTTCGTAACTTTAGTTTTAACACTTTATTATGTGTTGTTTTTTTTTTTTTTTTCATGCAATGTGCTATTAGCATATATATTATGTGCTAACTTTTGTATATATTATAGGGTAAGTGTGTTAGTTCGTGTATAACTATATTATGTTAACATAAAACATAATATATATTATAGTCAAATTTAGCACAATCTTCAACTGAATTCAACACGTTATATGCCTTTATACAATACAATTATATATTTTTATTTAAATCTTCATATATTATTTTGTATTTATAATGTGTTTATTTGTCTCTTTACATTAGTCTAGTAGCGCTGTGTTGAATATATTAAAATCAGCACGCTAATAGTTATCTTTTATATCAAGAAACAAATATATATTAAAATCAGCACGCTAATAGTTGTCTTTCATATCAAGAAACACATATATATGAGAAGTCGTACGGATGATTACCTGTTTTTACTAAATTACCCTTAATACTAAAACAGTGTATCTTTACATCAGTAGTACGTACGGGTAATATTGTGGGCAAGAATGACTAAATTTGTCAATAAACCCTACGTTGTCAGTTATACTGAAAATATTGGATGTTCTTGAGCGTTGTGTATTTCCAATTCCATTTGCTATTTTGTAGTGATTTACTTGTACAAAATATATTGATATAAATATCATTTTGTAGATCGCAACGTTTTCTTTAATACAATAATTTAGTTACAATATTTTAATGCTATGATATATAAAGAAATGCATTTGAAACTAATGCAGCAGTTTTTGAATTTGTTGGGCACGCAAAACAAAAAAAATTTGGTCCGACTAGACGGCTGCTCTTATAGAGAATATAAAAAATATATATTTATATAATTTATTATATTTCTTTCTCTCCTCTTTCTATCCCAACCGACTACTTACTGGACGGTTCTCCCCCACTTTCTATCCCAACCGACTAATTATTGGACGGTTCTCCTTCGCTTTGTCATCCGACCAATTCATTATATATATCATTTTGTAGAAAATAATTTATTAATATAATAGAAAAAAAATTATCCAAAGAAAAATATATATTTTTTTACGGACGTCGGCTGATCCGGAGGTTGGCTGATACAGAAGTCGGCTGATACGGAAGTCGGCTGATACGGAGGTCGGCTGATCCAGAAGTTGGCTGATACAGAGGTCGGCTGATCCAGAGGTCGGCTGAAAGGGAGGTCGGCTGATACGGAGGTCGGCTGATCCGGAGGTCGGCTGAAAGGGAGGTCGGCTGATCCAGAGGTCGGCTGATACGTAGGTCGGCTGAAAGGGAGGTCGGCTGATCCGTAGGTCGGCTGATACGGAGGTCGGCTGATCCAGAGGTCGGCTGATACGGAGGTCGGCTGCTACTGAGGTCGGCTGATCCGGAGGTCGGCTGAAACGGAGGTCGGCTGATCCAGAGGTCGGCTGATATAGAGGTCACCACTTTACTTTTTCAGTCTGTAGTTTTATTTTCCTTAGTTTACTTATGTACCCTACAGTGTCTAGAGATTCCTAATCTCAGGCATTCATTTTATCAAATTCAAAGATATTTTCTATTTTCGGATTTTACTTTGTTTTGTTGAAAAAATACGTCAACAATATTCTTTATTTATTTAAATTTATATATTCATATTTATATAATTAAATTTTAAAAATTTAATTAAAAATTTAAAACACATCAGTATATATATTTATAGATAATTATTTTTTTAATAATTCAGCGGCCGACTCTCTCTATGGCCAACTGACTAACATTAGCCGACAGTCCAACGGTCGGGTCTCTCTAAGGCCAACCAACTAACCTGAGACCAACAGTCCAGCGGTCGGCGTTCTCTATGACCAACCGACTAACCATCAGCCGACAGTCCAGATGTTGGGTCTCTTTAAGGCCAATCGACTAACCACCCGTCCAGTATGTAGTCGATTGGGATAGAAAGATGAGAGAAAGAAATATAATAAATTATATAAATATATATTTTTATATTTGTGCAGCCAATTGAAATGTGATTCAAAATGGAGGATAAACTATGCAAACGTATAAATACGACTTGATATATATATAGCAAAACTATATTAAATTCATATAAAATTTCACAAAATTACGCCAAATTTTCATATTTTCAATACTGCGTCCGACTCTTCAAGATTTTCTAAACTCTGCACCTAACTCTTTGACCATCATTATTTAAGAATGTTAGGTCTGCTGAACACTTAAATTAGGAATTGTTACGTACAAAAAATAATAATAATAATAATGATAATGGTAGCAGAGTCTTAAAGGAGGTCGGACAAGATAAGGTCGGGCGAAGAAGGATGAGACAATCAAGCAACCACCATCCGGTCCCTTCAAACGGCCGAACAACCAAGACGATTCATTGGTCGCCCCATCAAGCGACCAATTGACCGCCCTTTGAAGCGACTGAACTACTGTTTTGACCAAGTGACCAGCCAATCGATCAGGTGATTAACAGGTCGCTTAATTAAGCGACCAACCAATAGACCTTTTCTTCGCCCGACCTTATCTTGTCCGACCTCCGCATCTGCCATCTCATCTTTCTTCGTCCAGCCTTATCTTATCCGACCTCCGCTAAGACCCTGCTACCATTATTATTATTATTATTATTATTATTATTATTTGTACGTAACAATATTTATATTATTTTTTTCTCATTTTCTTTCATTCTCTTCCTCTTTCGTAAAACTAAATCGGTCAATTTTTTTTCTTTTTTTCCCTAAAATATATTTATATTATCTTTTCTTTCAAGAAATTAAAAATATAAAATATGCACCGCTAATGAACTCAGACAACATATTTATATAAAAAAATTACAAAAAATATTCTACCATAACAAAAACTTGCGCGGCTTAGCCGCGCTCACACGAGTACTAGTATATATATATATATAATGGTCAAACAAATAACTACGAAAGAAAATGATTAGTCCAAAAAAATAAATAAAATAATAACAACAGTGAACACAAATTTGTTGGAACTCATCAGAAATTAAATCCTAAGCCCAATATATTTTGTGTTGAAATAATTGAAATAAAAAAATAAAATAATTAAATTTGACCTGATTCTATTAGCGCAATCGAATTTGGATCTACAAATTAACATATGGTTTTGTGCTCTTCAAGTATATGACGCAACCCCTCATGAGAAAACCCTTAGATTTCTGTCGTTACTTCTACGATGAGATATGAAAAATAATGGATGCTACGCCTAGACCTGGGATTACAACTCTAATATATATCTCTTATTATCAATTGACTTCATCAACCAATTAATAAGTTACCGGTTTCTGCACATAGGAGGCTCGCACTTACTAAATACATTTAAGCCTAATAAATTTAATAGATCACTTAATATAGACTTAACCCGACTAATAGTCCAAATAGTTACATTTAACCCACAATTAAATTTTTAATCCAACAATCTTCTACTTGGGTAAATGTACACTTTATAACCTTATGAACTCATAAAAATTTTACTATCAAATCATTTGATATATTGTACCAATATTATCTATACATCACATCAATACAGATCAAAACGACCATCACTGCATTTATTGCAATAGGACCGATCAGTGGTTACAATATTAATATAACCTAAGATTTAATCAAGTGCGAATGCACAACATGAAAAATTTCATGTAATGTGATCATAATATGCCAATTTCCAACTCATTCACCTTAATTTTAGTTCAGAATAACTGAATATTATACATTACTAATAAGCTCCCACTAAACCGAAATATCAAGATATGGTTCCACTCTCATACTAGCAACATGCTCATTATAGAACTTAAGTGGCAACACTTTAGTAATTAAACGGATCCACAATCATGAAAGCTGTACGAATATGTTCA